AGAGCTGAGGAAATCAGGGATCCAGTCTCCCAAGGCATCCTGCTGAACAGGAAGCAGAGAAGGTTTTCTTCCAAATTGTGTCTGAAATGACGACCCTCTTCTTTGGAGAAATTTCAAGAAATAACTTTAGGGTTGGGCTGTGCCTGAGACAACATTTCCACTGTTTAAGGAAGACAGGAAAAAACAGAGTTTCTGAAAGTCACAACTTAAGTCAGTGTTAGACGTAGGGACCACATGCAAGTTTTCTCCAATACCAAACCAGTCCCTACACACAAAGGCTTTTTGTGTGTAAAACCTTTCCCACTTTTCAAGAATGCTGTGCTGAGAATCTAGGGCATTTTCCTCTAAAAGTGTGCTCACGTGTGATTTATAGCCCAAAGACAAGCATTCCATTTGCTCCCCAAACTTTTCAGTGGTGCTTGGATCAAATTTTTTCAGGCTATATTAAGGTCTAGAGTATTGATTTATTTTAATGAATTCATTTTCCTTTGCCTTGTCACAGCTTTCACAGATTTATGAGGTTAAAGAGCATGAAGCTAATTAAATAACCTGACTGGTTGAACATCTGTTGAAACATAGTAATAACTTCTGAAGCAAACATTCCTGATGAGCTATTAATTATTATTTAAAAACTAGAGGCAGGGTTTTACCATCTAAGAAAATCAACAAACCAAAACCCTAGCACACCTTCCAGTCTAGGTGTCCCTTTTAGGCTCAGCCAGAATTCCTAATGCAAGCCAGATGGTCTGTGGGGAAGGTCCAGCCCAGTTTGCAGATTGTTGGTGTGCAGCAGCAACAAATGGAAATTAAGATTCAGACATGATGGAATTTAACTGCATGCAGAGACCCACCTTAGCCCAAAATAGAAACTAATGCATGACCTTAGGTTAGTGGTTTAAGTCCAAATAGCCACTAGGTAAGGAACTAAACCTTTTCTTCAGTTCCCTCTTGCTCTCCGTCCCCATGGAGCAGCCCTGGACTGGCTCAGGAGTTCCTAAGCCCAGAAACTTCCACCAGAATGATGTGCAGGAATTCAGTTCTCAGCCTGGCACAGTCTGCCCTAATTTGCTTAGACTTGCATCATCTTCACATCTTGTTCTCCAAATAACTTTGTCAAAAATTTATCAGTGGAGCAGATAAATAAATAAGTCTGATCAATTCCCTCCTACTACCCAGGATCACTTTATGTTTCAAGGCTGATGAAAGTATTTTGAATTGATAAGTAATTTGCAGCTGTTCTTACATCCCCATCCTCTGCTGGTAAATTATAGGGACTGTGGCATGTTTATGAGTGTTTGTGCACAGTGAGGGTGTGCCCCAAGGTCTGCAGGAGTTAATGACAGATCCAGAGGAAAAGTGCCCACTGATGCCAACAGCATCTCCAGGCTCTCCTGCACCAAAGCCACAGGATTGCATGGGCTTGCCCTTTCTGTGACTTTTCATTTTAGAAATGGACAAATTGTTCACACAGTAAATATTATCCATATTGTAAATTATTCATAGTCCCAAAAGTGATGAAAGTGGAGTTGAAG